GAGGGAGGGCAGGGACAAGGGGAAAAATGAGAATCAAGACCTATTATGTAAAGGTACAGAATCCCAATGATGAATGTAATTGTATTGTATACCTAGATTGTACCAATAACCTCAATAAAAAGAAAAAAAATAAAAATAAAAACCAATCTCTTAGGGCCAGAGGTTTGGCTCAGTGGTTCTACCACCTGCCTCACAAGAGCAAGGTCCTGAGTTCAGGTCCCCGGTACCCCCTAAAAATAAAATAAAAAACAAATCTCTTTTTCCTGCTTGAATCAATGCCTCAAAAATATTCATTAGTCCTATACTTTCAACAACCAAAAAATCCTTTAACTTTCTTAGTCAAGTCAATTTAACAATCCTGCTTGCTTAAGGGCTAGCAATACTTTTAAATGTATAAAACAGTGGATATGATATACTCCAAGAATGCTTCTGACTCAATCTTTGGCCTAAGCAGTCAAATACCTTTTATAACTAAAGAATTTTATCTGGCTGAAAATTTTTTCTTTTTTTCCCCCCACCCCTTTGGCTGGAAATTTAACAGGTCCATTTTATGTAAAGGGAAACACAGTGGATCACATATATAGTGTGGCTCTTCAAGGATATATTATGGAAAATTCTCCCACATGTGAAAAAGGAAGATAGACACCAGAGCCCTCAGAGATCATCCACCCCTTCATGTTATAATAGAGAAAATAAAGTGCTGAAAGACTGAGTGACTCATAAGGTAACAGAATGTTAGATATAAAAGCAGTACCATATCTCCCTGAGTCGTACAAATTTTACACTATTTTTTGACACTTTTTTTCAAAAATGCTGTTTCTTGTAGGATCTAGAGGTTATAAAATAATTTTAGTTGTTTAGTAAACCAGCCAATATAAAAAAAGCCAATTTAACCAAGAGGTCACATTCTAAAGCATCTCACAGAATAAATGAAATCATTAAAATCCCATTTGGTGATTTAAACACTACAACATGGACTTCACTCTCACCTATTGATTCATAGTAAAATGCTTATACATCTTTATACTCAAGTGAATAACAGCTTTAAAAATAAGCAATCATCAATCTGGTTGATTTACTATTAAGTTATTTCTCATGAGAAACAGTACTTTGTCTATTAGAGAATAAGACAAAGTTAAGAATTCTATAAACCAATCAGCTTCCCATGTACTAACCAAAAACAAAGGGGAAAATCCAAGAAGAATATCTAAGATATTTTTAAGGATTCAGTGTTGTAATAATAGATCTTAGCCGGGCATGATGGCACACGCCTGTAATCCCAGCACTCAGGAGGTTGAAGCAGGAGGATCGCTGTGAGTTTGAGACCAGTCTGGGCTACATAGTGAGTTCCAGGTCTCAACTACATAGTGAGACCCTGTGTCAAAATATGAAACAAAACAAAATAATAGATTTTTACATAGATCTCTAAACAATCAAAAGCAAAAAAAATGAAGATAAACCTAACTTTCATAGTTTTCTACATTAAGAATACATAACTTTTAAAAAAGGAGTAAGTTCTACTTGACTGAATTCATTACTCATATATACCCTCTAGTATCACACCATTTCCCTTATGCAGCAAGTATCTGCAAAAACCAAGAAGTAGTGACTTCTCCAAGGTCACTCACCTGTGGGGCCAGAAAATGGGCTTAGAAAGAAGGCTTCTCACACCAAGACCAATGCAATTCTATTTACTGACCACATACTTGCTGCCAACTTTTATACTTAATATTCAAAGTTAATTAAACTCAAATTTAGCCTAAACTTGTTGTCCTGAAACCTTGCCTTAACTAGGATAAACAGCATTCAGTATTTCTCCTCTCAGAAGTACTTACATAGGTTTCATTTGCTGCGTCCAATTGCGGCTCATCCATGTCTGTGAAATAACCAAGTTCAGCAAAGAGTGTAGAATCTTTAAACAAAGGAAAAGAGAGGTCAACTGTCAATTCAATAATATGACACAAGAACAAGCACTATTTTCCTATGCCAGCTCGACTGGGGTTTCTCATTAGCCACTGGTACTACCGATGAGCTGAGCTCAGGCAGGGTGAATGACAAACAGTTCAAAGTGGGTTTTTAATATATGTGTTATTTTCTGCATAATTTTTATCCTGTGAACTAAATCCTTACCCCATGGATTTAAAAGGTTCTGTGTTATATGTCATGTTGCAGTAATTGGTGGTGACTTTCTGGAAATTCACTAACAAGAATTCTGATAGTACATCAGGGCTCAGCACAACAAAAAGTGGTTGATCAGCAACAAAGAGAAGAGTGGACTTCGTATTGTTGTATATAAGTATTTGCCATCCCTGCCTTAAGTTAAGGGAACAAATAATTTTTTATATAAACAGTAAAAAACTCACTCATCTAAACTATGAAATTCAGTTCCACAAATTGAACTATATTCTAATTTCCTAATGAGGCTTCCTCAGAAACCAGGAAAAACATAGACAAGAGCTTTCTTCAGTAAACTAGGCCAAATACTTTTTGTAGAGAAAGGTCACTGTGCTGACAAGGTCCAAGAAAACTGATTATCATACAACTTGTAAAATTTCTATTTTTCTCTAACACCTTTAGAAAGTCAAGGGCTTTCAAGAATTTTCTAAATCTCAGTCTTCCTTAGTACTTTCCAGTATCATCCCATTGAAACTGCTTTGGTCATTTCCTCACTACACATGCAGCAAAGGGAAGAGACCTTAACAGGTTTTTCTGCCCCCTTTATTCCATCCAGATTACTGGGATTACGGTCATGCCAAGCCAATCACTTATGCAGTGGTCTAGTAATCAAATACCCTTCATTCCAGCATCACACATTCCAGATTCAATCACATCTGAAAAAGAGTCCCACTTCATCTGCATGAGGCTTTGGGGGATGTCTAAACACAACCTATAACAAATCGCCTTCCCCTACACACACACACACACATAGAGTTACTAATATCACCAGACATCCATATTGCTTTTTATATAAATTGTGAGTACTTATTTCCCCATAAACACATCTTTTAGATGCTGTTTTCTTTGTGCTGAGCTGAATATAAGAAGGTAGAACTTCTTATAGCTCTAAGTTTTAAAAGTGATACCTTTTTAATTTCACAAGTATTAGTTGGCTATTTCTCCATACTTAAGATATTTAATTTCTTTTCCTCATTGAGTTTATTGGTACATTTTTAGGTATACAGTACAATTACATTCATTATTGGGATCTTGTACATGACAGGTCTTGGTTCTTATTTTTTCCCTTTGACCCTTCCCTCCCTTCACCCGCTCCTCTGCTCCCCATTTACACACACTTTTTATCCATTTTTTCATTTTCTCATATTTTTTTCTTTTCCCTTAGTACCTTTCCCCTACCCTTCCCACTTTCCCTACACCTTTAGTCCTTTCCTTCCTATTTCACATTGTCAATTATCTCATTAGGATCTTATGTACTATTATAGTTTTTCACACCAGAGAAACTATTCGGTATTTACACATGTGCGATTTATTTATTTCACTTAGGAGTATATCCTCAATATGTATGCATTTTCCTATGAATGAATCTAATTTCTCATTCCTTATCGCTAAGTTCAGTGGTAATTTACAGTCCTCATCTTACTTAACCAACAACATTTGGCACAGTTTGATCCTTTCATATTAACTGTAGAATTTTCTACACTTAGCTTCCAAAATACTACATTCACTTGGTTTTTCTCTCACCTAACTGATTGATCCTATTTTGATGGTTCTTCCTCCTCTCCCTAACATGAAAGTATCTTCGAGCTCAGCGTAAATTTTTCTATTTTACACCCTTTGTGATCTCACTGAGCTCACAGCTTTAAATAGCATTTATATGCCAAGATTTATATTCCCAAATATACATCTCCAGTCCATATTTTAAGATGTATGTGTACACACTGAGTACTAACATTGCCTCTTGTTAGGGAATTGATCATGTTAAAGAATGCTGTGATGCCACCATCACAGGCTGCATTTTCCTGGTGCTTCTTGGCTCTTAGAATGACTTCATGCTCTTATCTTTAGTTACCCTCCCACCAAGGCCACAGCGAGACACCGAAGTTGAAACCTGTTTCTACAGGGCTGAACCCATAAAAGACAACCTGGCCTGTGATAGATTAAAAGTAGCCCACTCCTCATGAATAAGCAATAGCCCAGCCCAAAACCAATAAAATAACCTTCCTTTCTTTGTTCTTTTCTTCTTCTTCTTCTTCTTCTGCCCCTTCTCCCTCTCTGCTCCCACTCCCTGAATAAAATCTCCAGTCGGACCTCTCAGTGTGTGCGTGTCCTGGTTGTTGAACATCACTATTCCCTTTCACCTCTTGATTATTTAAAAAGCATCTTACACTTCACATATCTCAAATTGAGCTCTTGATCACATCCATCAAACCTATTTTTTGTCCCCATCTTAGTAAATGACAATTCAGTTCTCCCAGTTGCTCAGTCCAAAGAGCTTATAACCATTGCTTATTTCTCTTCCTCACTCTCTGTATTCAATCTACCATCAGATCCTGTTAGCTGTGTACAGAGTGCCAGATGGGAGAGGCAGCCTGAGAAGTTAGGAGATTGCATTTAACAATACGTAAGATTTTAAAACACAGCAAGGGAACCAAAAGGTTTTAGATTGGAATTGTTCGTAAATGGACGGACAGATGGATGGATGAATTTCTTAGTTCTGTCTTCTGTGAGGTTTTAGCAGCAACGGCACCCCAATAGCAATGAAAATACTGTGTGCCCTGATCTTTGATATTAAATAGCACCCTCCACTAAATGGAAATTTACTAAAATGCTCCTTGGAGAAATGGCTGATTCAAGGGCTGAAGCAGATGAAGTTAAAATAAGCTTGGAAAATTTTGTGTCAGAAATAAGGGAAATCTGCAGCAAATGATAGGAACATTTCAAAAAACCAAAGGCACCAATGTGGACTCCCAGTGGTGTAATCTGCAAAACAGCATCAAAATGAGTATCAGATTACAGCCCACAAACCAAAAAAGAATCAGTGAATCCATAATGAAAGAAACAAATCGAACTCTTCCTCCAAATATGATGCATGAAGAAAAGCACACATCATTTCTCCAGCATTCCTGCATGGATTTAGTGCAGGCCTTAGTCTGGTCACAAGGAAGTAGAGGACAGACTCACTGGTTTAGAATCATCTTCTAGAATAAAAGATCTGTACTCTTTAAGATTGTCAAGGACAGGACAGACAGGAAAAGACTAAGGAACTATTTCAGGTTGAAGGACACTGACAAGACATGATGAATAAAAGCAATGTGTAAAGTGCAGGAAGGATCCTAAATTAGAGACAAAAAAGGACTATTCTTGAGGTAGATGGCAAAATTTGAATGCAGTCTATGAATTGGACGGGACTGCTGTTTCACTATTTATTTTCTGACTGGACATACTGTTACTATAGTACTACAGAAAGTATCTCTGGTTTGCTGTTTGCTCTTGGGCCAAGGGCAGAGGGGTGTATACACTGTAGATGTTTAAGGGTGAGTGCTCAACACCTCTCTTTGCCTCCCTCTTTAAAGAGAAAAATAGAGTAAATGCAGTGTAATTTAAAAATCAAGGAATCTGTGAGAAAAGCATGTAAGAGTTATTTGTATTGTTCTTACAACCCTGCTGTAAGTCTGAAGTTATTTCAGAATTTTTAAATATATGTGTCAAGCTGGGAACACCGACACACCTGTGAAACCAGCTACTTGGGAGGCTGAGGCAAGAGGATCACTTGAGCCCAGGAGTCCAACACCAGCATGGGCAATACAGCAATACACAGGTAATACTCATACATACTCATGTATATAAGAGTATACGTATGCACGTGTGTATATGTATGTCTGTGTATATGTGTATGTGTACATATCCATAATCCAACCATTGGCTAATATTACCACCTCTGCTACCATTACAACTCATTGTGGCTGGGGATTTAGCTCAGTGGTTCCACTGCCTGCCTTGCAAGTGCAAGTTTGATGCCCAGTACCAAAAATATAGTAATAATAATAACTCATGGGGATGCTATAGAAGCCTCCCAACAGTCTCCCTGCTTCTGTTCTTGACTTCTTTCAACCTATGTTCAATGGAGCAGCTAATGTAAGTTTACAAAAAAAAAAAAGTGTTACTGAGAATCAGAATTCTCGGGGAAGAGAAATATAAGTAGTTATGTGCCACACATTGACATTTCGATAGATGACACACAGTAGACACATACAATGATGATCCCATAAGGTTATAATGGAGCTGAAAAATCTCCAACACTTAGGGATGGCACAGCCATTGTAATATCTTAGTATGATCCATTATTCAGTGTTTATGGTGGTGCTGCTGTGTTGCTAATCCTATAAAAGTATACAGCACATACAATTGGAGATAATGTGTAAAAATACTTGATAAAAAACAATCATCAACTACACTACTAGTTTAGTATTTCCTGTTGTTTGGTTCATTACAGCCTTAGGAGCAACAGGCTGCACCATATACCCACATACCATGTAATCTAAATGTATGACAGGCTGCACAATCTAGGTTTGTGTGAGCACCCTCTATATGTTTACAACAACACCCTTCTCAGAATGTGTCCCTGTTATTAAGCAATGTAGGACTGCATCTAATAAGAGACAGTGAGGGGGAAAAAATGTGATTTTGCTTTGAACTGTGTTAAGTATGATTTCATGCTTTTTTTTCCACTTTTTAATTCTTCATTTTATTTTTCCCCGTTAAGTTTATTGGTACATTTAAAGCAAACAATACAGTTATGTTTATCATTGGGATCTTGTGTCTTTACATGATATATCTTGGTTCTTATTTTTTCCCCTTACCCCTGCATTCCCTTCACCCCCTTCTATACAATTTCATACTTTTAAAAAATAAATACTTCCTGTTCTTAGAAACTACATGGTGAAGTGTTTAGGA